GTAGATTCCCAGGGAATGCTGATGTTTTAGAAACCACTGTAGTAGATAACTCTTATCCATAGGAGTTATCCAAAAGGACTGAAAGGGGAGAAATGGAAGAAGGGAATAGCATAGGAATGTCCAAGACAATAACAAGCTTTTCCATATGATTCGACTTATCAAAGGCATTGTGCATGTGTGTGTGTGTGTGTGTGTGTGTGTACATATCCAAAACAAGTTCCTAACAGGACTGTCACCAGAAAACTAGTGGAAGTTATTCCAGAAATGAAATTTCAAGTAGTCTTTATCCTTTATAATTTTGCTTATTATTATATTCTTTATAATGAACAAATGTTAACTTCAGTAATTTAAAACAAAATCATTTTTATTGAGAAAAGGGGAGGAAAAAAAACTTTGGAACCAACAATTTCTTAAGAAAGAGCTTTTCTGGGCTGGGAATTTAACTCAGTGGTTCTGGTGCCTACCTCGCAAGTACAAGGACCTGGTACCAAAAAGAGAAAAAGAGAGAGAGAGAGAGAGAGAGAGCGCTTTTCTGTTTTGTTCATAGCACTAAATTGATATCTTACGAAGCCTAATGTTAATATGTAAAACTAAAAACACAATGTAAAAAAGGAAGATCTTGAACAGGTAAATAAGTAGAACTTCTATTTTTTTTATAACTCTCTGATTCATAAAAATTTACAAAAAGTTAGCATAAAAAGAAATTTTAGGGCCAGGGATTTAGCTCAGTGGTTCCACCACCTGCCTTGCAAGTGCAAGGACCGGAGTTCGATCCCCAGTACCAAAAAAAAAGAAAAAAGAAAAGAAAAAAAAGCAATTTTATGAGACTGATGCACTGCCCACTGCGCTGAGGCAATAAAAAGAAATTTTAAAGTTCACTTTTTAAAATACACAACTGCCTTGTGAGTAAACATCTTCCTCTTTTAAAAATTCAATTAAATATACAGTAAACAAAAACTCGCCTCTTAACCTGCCTTTGCATTGCTTCCTATATATCTTTATGTACAGATCAGAAAATAACAAAAATAAGGCTAAGATTAATAACCTAAAATCAGACAAAATCAAGACAACTTTATGACTTCTACTACAGGACTTTCAAGCACCCAGGCGATGTCACTTAGAGAGCTCTAAGGTAGAAAAGCAGTGTCCCAAATAGGTTACATGGATTCTAATTCACACTTTTCCAGGCTTTCACAGATCTCCTGAGACTCAATACTATATGTCTCCTAGCTTAAAACACACCTTCTGATACCAGTTCATGATTGAATTTGAAAATTCAGCCTGGTTGTCAAACAGACCACAGGGCTCTGCTATTTTTTCCTGCTAGGAACAAACAGCCTGGCTTTCCAGAGCTGAACTTTGGGGTCCCCTTGAGCAGATCCAGGAAGCTGCTAAGAGGCTCAAAATTGTTTTTATGGTATTCACATCCCAAAATTCTGAAAAATTGATATGAAAGTCTCAGCCACCAGTCTTGCCAGTTTTTCCCTGGTCTTCTGTTGTCAGTGTCTCTTCTCCTTCAGTAGCAGCTCACTCACCACAATGGTTTACTGCATTTTACAAATTAGAATTAGCCTGTGGCTGATTAGAAGAACAAATGAAAATTCCTACATCCCCAAGATTAAGACAGAGCATCCTTCCTAAAGATGAACAAACAGAAAAGAGCCAGAAAAGTCTACATCACAAGACACAATCAGAGGCTGTACCTTCTTCTGAGACAAATTTTTGGGAGGACAGAAAAGCAATTTTAAGTTCCTACTTTGTGTTCACGATATAATACCTAGCCTCTACAAAACTGTGGACACAAGAAAGCCAACATAGCCCCAAATATACAGAAACAAAAATAGTAAAAGTTAAAACTGTGCTGGCAAGCAGAAAAAAACAGAAACTAGACACAACAAAACTTAAGTAGAAAACAAAGATAAAAACCTGCTTCAAGAATTCAATCCCATCCCCGCATAAGACAAAACAGTCAAATCCTTGAATATTAGTTATTGCAGAAGTAGAAAACAATAGTGGGAGATACAAAAGAGGAAATCTTCTTTTAAAAATTGAAAGTTTTCTTCATAGATCCAAGCAAGTTACACAGGGAATTAAAACAAAAAACCATCTATAGGGGTAAAGACATCTAGCATCTGTAGGAAGGGTTCTCCATACTGACTCAGAAACAGAAGTATTTTTGATTATAAGAGTGCCATGGAAATTCAATCGAAGCAATTTATAGACAGCGGGATAAAAATCACTTATAAAACCCATTTTAGTGAGGTACCCTTTTCTGAGAAAATGGATAGAAGTTGGAGAATAATTTCTACCATTTTTTTCTTCCAGGATTACTAATCCATTCAAATAATTTAATTTTTTTTTAATACTTGCAGGTTGAACCAGAGCCTTTCCACTGAGCTACATACCCATTCTTTTTTTATTTTTTAGTTCCTCTCTATGTCATTAAGTTGTCCAGACTAAGCCTGAACTTGGAATCTTCCTCCCTCAGCTTCTCAGAGTGCTGGGATTACAATCCTGCACTGTCATGCCCAGTGAATCAATTTATAATAAGATTTTTCCGGGGCATCAGTATACAGTGATACATAGAAATATTATATAATTGTAAAATACCACCCCAATACTAGAAGAAAATACATTTGGACCTAATATCCATATGGAATGAGTTTCTAGGCCCCTTGTGGATACTAAAATCCACTGATGCTCAAGTTTCTTATAGAAAATGGCATAGTATTTGCATATAACCTACACACACACCTCTGTATACCTTAAATCATCTCTAGATTATTTATAAAACCAAAAGCAGTATGACTTCTGCATAAATTATATTATATTTTTTCAGGAATAATGACAAGAAAAAGAATCCATACATGTTTAGCACAGATGCAGATTTTCTCCCAAATATTTTCAATCTGTGATTGACTGAAAAAGTAGATGCAAAGCCAACAGATATAGAGGACCAACTGAAAGTTCTTAGAAGGCAGAGTAGAGGCCAGCACCCAAGACACAGAGACAAACCGTGGCATAGCTTTTATATCTGCCCTGGATACACTCTGCTCATTTGGTGAAATCTGATTTAAGACTACCTTTCATTATAATATACTCTTGCCAAGTTCTTCCTGAGGAAGAGTCCACATAGCCAGATTGGCCTAAAGCATTTTGCAGTAATTTTACCACAAAATAAACAAAACAAAAAAAAGGTAAGTATGAAAAGTGGGACACAACCCTTATAAAGACAAAAAGTCATTTATGATAAATACATTAAATATTTTTCATCTAAGATATCATCAATTATAATAGGCATTTTACATTCCACTAAAAAAAGGAAAATGCCAAGCATGACATATTTAATTACCTAGAATCTTATTTTATACTTATCAAACAAGCTCCTCTAAATCAATTCATACATAACTTATCATGGATCATGCTGCTGTTTGCATGTCTTTCTTTGTACATAATAACTTTGCCTTTTAGTGCCAAATCATGGTGAAATCATTTCAAAAGCAATTAATTTATAAGTAAAAAATAAGAACTTGAGTGAAATAAAGTGACAGCAATCTGAACAATCTGTGACCAAGGTCACAGATGCATAAAGAATCTGCCAGGGTGCAGAGTGACTGTAAGAACATCTCAGATCCTGAGTAAAATGAGAAAAACATTACACCTTACAGGTGATGATACATTAACCTCTCAATACAATATTTATATGGGGTAAGATTCTGACATATTTTCTTAGTACCTTTCTGTACTTTTCATTTTTCTTCTAATGCATATACTTTTAACTATAAAAACTCTGTGTGTGTGTTTGATTCATTTAAATGTCTTATCTCCTTTGCCCATTTGTATTGTTAGCTCTTCCGCTAGTCTGGTCTTAATCTAATAGGTCTATGTTCAAGTAGCCACACAAGGATGTTGATCAACTACAATATTTTATATCATGGTTAGTTTTAAGGCAGCGACACAGGAAGGTTCATTCATGGAAAGTAACAGTAGGACTCAGGAGTATTTTATAATCTAGTTTCCAGCCAGTATTTTTTTTTATCTTTAATTATGCTTGGACCTGCAAGCACATTTTATGTTCTGCAAATCACAGTCTAGAGAGAGAACTATAGACCACTGGGTAACCCAGAAGGCGGCTTTTTCATTATTCTGAAATCCATTTATTTTATTATCTTGTCTTCCTCCTGAGAACCCAGTGGTCTATGTAGTATGTGGAGGAAGGGATAGAGGTATATGCTAGCTGGGTAGTGAAGTGTGGGACACAGACAAATACACTTTTATTAGCTGAATCTTCTGATTACCTCCCTCCAGTTTTCTAATATTTGATTCTAAACCACAGTCACCCAACATATCCATACCTACCTGTCCAGGTCCACCACCAACAAGGCTCTTTCCCAGTGGAGGAGCAAAGATGGGGCCATCTACCATTTCATGTGTGAGGAACCAGTATCCTTCCCTGTTGCACCAAGGAACTGGTCTCAGAATCAGAATCCTCCTTTGACCTGGAGGGCTCATCTGACCAGAAATCTCACTGAGCATGGGTCTCTGAGCCTCCATTTCCTCTACATGTATCCTAGCACCCTGCCTTTGGCGTTCCTAATTCATACTTTAAGACACAATCATCACCAAGCCACACTTGGTGTGGCTTTGACTATCACTGGATGTTATCATAAAATAATATGTTCAAAACTTATCCCTATAAGAGAACTAAGTGCTTATGAGCCCAGAAATTATATAAAGATATTATTCTAAAGGAAGTATAATTAAAACTCAGAGTCCGGGGATTTAGCTCAGTGGTTCCGCCACCTGCCTTGCAAGCACAAGGACCCGAGTTCGATTCCCAATACCAAAAAAAAAAAAAAAATACTCAGACGTTGGAAACAAGAGTCAACCAGTTGTAAAAGGCTCTCAGTAGCAAACAAAATATTTCTCCTCACATCAGGCAAACGGTTTGAGTTAGGAAAAAGCTCCATGGACCTGAAGCCCAGTGCTTTGTGACTTACGTAAAGAGGGACTTCGCTGCAGCTCAACTCCATGGCTTCTGCATCTGCAATGAGAGCAATAAAGGACAGCAGTTATTGTAGGGGTTCCACAGCAACTGGCCCTCAGACCCCTTCCTGGCCCCCAGCTCAGTCATCATCATCATTTGAAGGGATGGGATAAGGCATAGAAAAACATCACCAAAGAATAAAGAGAGCTGGAGAGGCGCACAGTGGCAGAGTCCTTGCTGCCATGTGGGAGGCCCTAGGTTCCAGACCCAGCACCACAGAAATAGATAAGTATATATCTCCCAAGCCCACTCTCATTCTTGTACATATATGAGGAAACTCTACTACCTTAGATGTTATCCCAGAATAGGAATATTTCTGAAAGCCAAGGAAGGACAATATTAAGCATTTGGAAAGTTTTGCCTTCATTCATCACTTGCTTGATGGGCTATTCCAAATAATGTCAAAATCTACTTTTGTCCAGATGAGGCAAAGGGGCATAGTGACAAGATTGTCCAGTGGCCTTTCATATACAGGAGGCCAAAGATCTGAGTGGCTTCACTGGCATGAACACAGTGTGGGTGTGGGGTACAGTCCACTGTCGAGCTACCCAACGTCTTCACCAGTTGTATGCACACACCGCTGCCTCTGAATGGCCTGCCTCTTTAAGAACAGCACACAGAGGTGTCTATGAAGGCAGACAGAGAAACAAAGTGTAGTGTGTGCATGCAATAATACTACCATTCAGTATTCAACCTTGGAAAGGAATAATGTGGTGACACTACAACAGGTTTGAACTTTAACAGCGTGGTGTGCAACAAACCAGACAGATAGGACAAATGGGGTATGGTTCCAATTATATGAGCTATGTAGAGTAGATAAACTCAAAGAGACAGAAAATAAAACGGTAGTCCCAGCAGTATGAGAGTGGAGAATTTAGTTTCATGGATTTTAACAGACACAGAGTTTCATTTCTTACACTTTGAAAAGTGTTCTAGACATAGATAATGGTGATGGTTGTGCAAAAATGTGATTGTGTTTACTGCTACTAAGCTATACACAGATAAATAGTTATTTTATGGTGAATGATGAATTTTATGTTATATGCATTTTTGCCACAATTTTTTAAATAACTGAAATAGTACCCAGAAGCTGCCTTCCTGATTAGAAGAAAAAGAGCCAGCAACACTCACTGCACACTGGCTGTGGGTCCAGTATTACACAATGGAAACCAGAAAGGGGTCCGGCCCTCAAAGGGCTCCAAGTGAACAACAGAGACAGAGATGGGGAGACAGCAGAGAGCAGGCTGCAGGAGGATTCTGAATGGAACACTCAGGGAGACACACTGCCCCTCAATGTCCCCCACACACCTCCAGCCGCCACCCCACCCCAAACTCCAGGCCCAGCCGGGCTCTCATCCCAGGTCATGGCCCCAACAGTACTTTCTTTGGGGTACTTCTAAGAAGGCAGGCACATGGCAAGCTGACGGGTGACATGTTGTACAGTGATGCTCAGAGAATGCACATGGCAAGGAAGAGAACATGGAAAGTTCTATTTTTATTATTTTGTCTAAATCACTTAAAGTGAGTTTTCCTACTACTTCATACACAGGCTGACATGGCAGCCTCTAAGGTCAAAGTAATGCTCCATGAGTCATCTTGAGGGCTTGGCACCAGGGCCCTTCTCAGCCCTGTGCCCAACATACTATGTCCTGTGAGCATTTTTGTGGATCCCCTAAAATGGGCTGGGAATGGTAACTGAATTTCTAATGAAACTAGCTCCACAAACTGGGCTAGGATGGTTAAGCTTGCTTGTCAAGTTGACTGGCTTCAGAGACCCAGGAGATGAGGAAAGCACACTTCCACGTACGTGGTCAGAGTGGGACACATTGGCAGGACCTTGGGGACTACATCTGTGACTGGCCCCTTCCTCTCTGGTGCTGCGTCCCTGCTCTCGGCTTCCTGGCCACCCGGAAGTAGCTGTGCTCCACCGCACCCTTCCGTCATGTTCTGCCCTGGAGCCAGCTGCCCATAGCCAAAACCTCTGAAACCACAAACCCAAATACATCTTTTCTCCTTTAAACTGCATAAGTCGTTTTGTTCTAGCAACAGAAAGGTTACTAATGACTACATGGACCAATGGCTCAAAGAGTTTGGAAAAGAAATTTCAAATTAAAGAAAATACTAACAAGCATGTAACGATGCCCTTCATATGAATTCATTTGCCAGCCACACTATGAAATAAGAAGAATATCCAATCCAAGAAGAGTGATAGGATGATAACCGCAAAAGTCTAAATTCGTAAGAAAGTATTAAAAATGAATTTATAGCCACTGGCACTGATCATAACTCTCATCCTAAATGTCTGCCACTCACCAAGATACTAGAAATTTTTCATCTGTTTATAGTACACCATATTCAGTTCCAGTCCTTTACAAAATTTCACCAAACTTGACATTAAAATGAAAAGACCCTTTCAAGATTTCTTAACAACAAAAGAAATGCATTGCCATAAGAATCATAGTGGTTTTTATAAACCATCAGAGAAACTCATTATTCTAGATAATTAACATACACTAATTTAAAAAGAAAAATTGCAAAAATAACACACAGAAAGAAAAATGCTAAAATGCATTCCTTTATGAGTAAAACCATTGAAGACTGTTGAATATTTTAAAAAAACAGCTGGGTGTGGTGGTGTATACATATAAACCCAACACTTGGGAAGCTGAGGCAGGAGGATCACTGTGATTTCTAGGTCAGCCTGAGATATATGAGTTCAAGGCCAGCCTGAATTATAATACATAGTGGAATCCTGTCTCCAAAAAACATAACAAACAATTTTTTTAAAAAAGGAAAAAACAAACCAAGTATATTAGAACAAATTAAAGTGTGGGGAAGGTTTGCTATACACTTAAAGTACAGATTTTTTCCATGGTTCAGCTTATGATACTTAATAGATTTTATCTAATCATAAAACAGCAAAAACGAAAAGAAAAAATTTCATTTTTGATAAGAATGTAGACATACTCAGAAATGTGAATTGCCTCTTTAGCAAAAAAATAACATTCTATAGGAAAACTGTTCAAGTCCAATTACTGAAAAGGTAACTGTTGTGAAAAGTCTTGTTTTGTTTTGTTTACTCCTGGTACTGGGAATTAAACCTGGGGTCTTTACTTTGGCATCTTTTCCTTTTTTTTTCTTTTCTTTTTTTTTTTTTTTTTTTTTTTTTTTTTTGTTTTCTTTGGTTTTTTTTT